GGGATATGATCGAGGTGTATAAATGGAAAACAGGAATAAATGAAGGGGATGTAAATAGTTTGCTGAAAATTTCCAGCCAAGACAGGACTCGCAGCAATGGTTTCAAGTTGGAAAAATTCAGATTCAGGAAGGACATAGGAAAGCACTGGTTTGGTAATAGAGTTGTGGATGAGTGGAACAAACTCCCGAGTACAGTTATTGAGGCTAAAACGTTGTGTAGTTTTAAAAATAGGTTAGATAAATACGTGAGTGGGTGTGGGTGAGTTTGAGTTGGATCTAACTAGCTTGTGCTGCTGGGTCTGGAGCCGTGCTCCTTCCTTGAGTGGAAGTGACCAGACTGGGTGGGTCATTGGGCTAATCCGGGGGGGACATGGACCTGCACCGCATGGGTCAGTAGGCCTGTTGCAGTGTTTCTTCTTTCTTATGTTCTTATTTTGTAAGTGCCATGGTGAATTTCTACACTAAGCTGCATCTGCCACTTCTCCGAACAATGCATCAATTCATTCGTAAGTGTCCTCGTCAGAATTAATCAGCCTAACATGACTCAAGAAATCGTAATGCCACGATTGCAAACAAACCATACCCCCGGCCGGGATTGAACCCGCGGTCTGGAGTTTTGAGACTCTATGACCGCGGGTTCAATCCCGGCCGGGGGTATGGTTAATCAGCCTATTTTGGTGTCATCGCCAAAAGTTCTTATGTCATTATTTATTCCCTCGTCTAAGTCTTTAATGTATATTGTGAATAAAAAAGGGCCCAACACTGATCTTTGCGGAACACCACTTGTGAAGCGTCCCCACTCTTGGTTGCCCACTTCTCAACCATACATCTATCCGGGAAAATGTTTCCAGCCTATACCGTGTGCCTCTACTTTCTTCGGCAGTCTGTTGTGTATGTGAACTGAAGTCCATATACTCAATATTATTTTTATTACCTTCATGTACCTCCTCAAATACCTTAGTGATAAAAAGTAGGCAAATTCGTAAGGCAGGAACAAACCTTTTGAAAATCGTTCTGAGATTCATTAATTAATGTTTTACGTTGTTCCTTCTAATAGCATCGGTAATTTTTGTTTCCATAAATTTTCCCACAGAGGAAGTTAGGCTAACTGACATATAATTAGAACCAAACCATCTATCTCCTGCTTTTTTAGATACGTATCAAAATTTGGTATAGGTATCAACAATGTTTTTTACCCTCCTATCACTGCTACTGGTAATTAATGGGTATTGATCACAATACCCATTATAATATTGTGATTGTAATGGGTATTGTGATCAATACCCATTATAATGACTTGTCAAAATTGTTTTATAATTTACTAGAAACTTGTCGCAAATAATTTATATGTACTCGTGTTCATTAACAAAAAAAAAAAAATATTTATGTATTTCTGATTTCCGGCAACAAAAACTACATGTGCTTTATTGAAGCCTAGACCCAATTAACTTTAAATTCCGTGTAGTTTCATTAATTTATTCAGGTTTGATCAAAAATAATTAAATATAAAATATAAGATGGCCTGACGGGAGCGAGAAGCCCGGGTCACACAGGTCACATGTGTCACACAGGTCACATGTGTCACACAGGTCACACAGTTGCTTAGCAAGAGCAAAAGAAAAGATCTCTTGCACAAAGATACATGGTGTTGTTGTGTCAAAGTTGTATCATTTTTTAATGATATAGAATATCGATAATTTATGATAGATACGAGGTATCTCGTTGCGGGAACGTTTCGTTTGGATAGCAGGTTTCTTCAGTTGATTACAGAGGGAATTTTTAATCCGGAGACCATTCATTAGGTGGAGAAATAATTTAGAGGTTTTCAGTCCCTTACCCTAAAGTAATGAGGCTAGAGAATTATGTACCAGAGCAAGAAGTGTTGCACAACAGCAATGCCGTGAAAGGTGTAAGTAGGTTACCAGTGTAAGTTGGTCTTTCCAAACAGATGTTCACATATAGAGTTGTAGAAGACATATGCACGTGCCTGACACAGCACTACAATAGGTCCTTTAATGGGAGAATCTTCTGTAATCCTGTTAATAAATTGTTTGGAATGGTCCACCTGTCTGACATTGGAACACTGTGGAATTTAGGTACAGACCATTTTTTCTGTAGCATTAATGCTAAATGGTTATTTGGTATGATCAACCTCCGCTAGTGGGCTCCATTCACTTTCGATATCATATACAGAAGTTGCACCTCACTTCTGCCTTCAATATATAACCTGTCCTCGTCTCCATAACTCACGATCGACACCATGCATTGCCCTTCTAGGGCATGGTTGGTGCCAGAGCCCGAGTTTGTACCTTACAAGATGAGGGGGGTACTTGTGCCTCCTCCCATGGGAGACTTAGGTCTCAGACACTCCCTAGACAGGGTGCCGGGCCACCACTTGGAAGGGCCCGGGCCGGGAGAATACCGGCGAATCTTTAACAACAACATCCATAACTCTGCAATCAGGTCACTGGAACTAACCACCGCCTATCAAGGCTTATAATTGCATCTCTATTTCTTTTACTGTCTACAGAATGAAAATCGTGTCTTTTCGACAGACGAAGTCTTGTACGTAGGCGAAACGTTTCCGCACCCAGATATTCAAGTGTAACTCACGCCGATATATTATTTCTGAAACTAACCGACACACTGCCAGTTATAACTGAAGCTTCAACACATCGCCGGTTATAACCGAAGCTTCAACACACCACCGGTTATAACAAGCTTCAACACACCGCCGGTTATAACTGAAGCTTCACACCGCCGGTTATAACTGAAGCTTCAACACACCGCCGGTTATAACTGAAGCTTCAACACACCGCCGGTTATAACTGAAGCTTCAACACACCGCCGGTTATAACTGAAGCTTCAACACACCGCCGGTTATAACTGAAGCTTCAACACACCACCGGTTATAACAAGCTTCAACACACCGCCGGTTATAACTGAAGCTTCAACACACCATCGGTTATAACTGAAGCTTTAACACACCATCGGTTATAACTGAAGCTTTAACACACCGTCGGTTATAACTGAAGCTCCAGCACACCGCCAGTTATAACTGAAGCTTCAGCACACTCCAACTACTGAAGCTATACAGCACTCAGCTGATTATTAGACTATCTAACACACCACTGGGTATTACTGAGACTATCTAGCACACCATTGGGTATTACTGAGACTATCTAGCACACCACTGGGTATTACTGAGACTATCTAGCACACCACTGGGTATTACTGAGACTATCTAGCACACCACTGGGTATTACTGAGACTATCTAGCACACCACTGGGTATTACTGAGACTATCTAGCACACCACTGGGTATTACTGAGATTATCTAGCACACCACTGGGTATTAATGAGACACTCTAGCACACCACTGGATATTAATGAGACTATCTAGCACACCACTGGGTATTAATGAGACACTCTAGCACACCACTGGATATTAATGAGACTATCTAGCACACCATGGGTATTAATGAGACACTCTAGCACACCACTGGATATTAATGAGACTATCTAGCACACCACTGGGTATTAATGAGACACTCTAGCACACCACTGGATATTAATGAGACTATCTAGCACACCACTGGGTATTAATGAGACACTCTAGCACACCACTGGATATTAATGAGACTATCTAGCACACCACTGGGTATTAATGAGACATTCTAGCACACCACTGGATATTAATGAGACTATCTAGCACACCACTGGGTATTAATGAGACACTCTAGCACACCACTGGATATTAATGAGACTATCTAGCACACCACTGGGTATTACTGAGACTATCTAGCACACCACTGGGTATTACTGAGACTATCTAGCACACCACTGGGTATTACTGAGACTATCTAGCACACCACTGGGTATTACTGAGACTATCTAGCACACCACTGGGTATTACTGAGACTATCTAGCACACCACTGGGTATTACTGAGACTATCTAGCACACCACTGGGTATTAATGAGACACTCTAGCACACCACTGGATATTAATGAGACTATCTAGCACACCACTGGGTATTAATGAGACACTCTAGCACACCACTGGATATTAATGAGACTATCTAGCACACCACTGGGTATTACTGAGACTATCTAGCACACCACTGGGTATTACTGAGACTATCTAGCACACCACTGGGTATTACTGAGACTATCTAGCACACCACTGGGTATTACTGAGACTATCTAGCACACCACTGGGTATTACTGAGACCTAAAACTAACATTATACATTCTATCAACTAGTGATAGGAAACTGTGTATTAGATTTGTGCCCAGACACGAGAGTCACTTCGTAAATTCAACACTGGTTCCAAAACATTCCCTAATTGCCTGTTTAACGTAAAATACTACATATCATATTGTAAATATTGTAAATACTGAATGTTGCACAGCTGACAGCAGTGTGTTACTGTTCTGAGAGCAGAGGAAAGAAACAGTACAAAAAGAAAGAGGATAAACGGGTCTGTTGGACACGTAATAATGACCACGGTAATAAAATTAACAATAGCCATAAAATGACAAAAGCAAAACGATAAAACAAAATTTAAAAAATACGAAAAAAAAAACACAGAAAAACAAAACGATAACTAGGATAAAGGCAACAAAAAATAAGACAAAAACAGGAAAGTAAGAAAAATATAAACAGCGAACAAAAAAAATAAAATAAAAATATAATCGTTAAAAATAAAACTCCTGTAACTCCAACAAGAAAAATATAAAGCATAAACATGAGTACAAAAAACGAGAACAAAATTCTGAACAAAACAAAAAAAAAACTTAAACCACCGACAACAACAACAATGACAATCGTCACTAACATTTCTAGTACAAATAAACAAGCTATTAAATACATTGTGACATTTCTAGTTATTCAGAAAATTATTACAACAAAGTGCAGGAAATTATTAGTCAACTGGACATCACGTATAAAATGATTTATCAGCATAAATTTACATAGAAGATAATGCTCGGTACTTACATTCCATCACCTTTGATATCGTAGTGGGAACTGCAATATAAAACACGATTATTATCCTTGTGTATTTGGTATAGAGAAAATAATTTATAATCTTCCATGAAGCCATGTTTTAAATGATTTACTTCTTGCGATATGTATGTGGAAATGGATATGTATAGATATGTGGATATGTATGGATATGTCTGTTGATATGTATGGATATGTATGTTGATATGTATAGATATGAATGTGGATATGTATGGATATGTGGATATGTATGGATATGTATGTGGATATGTATGGATATGTATGTGGATATGTATAGATATGAATGTGGATATGTATGGATATGAATGTGGATATGTATGGATATGTATGTGGATATGTATGGATATGTATGTGGATATGTATAGATATTAATGTGGATATGTATAGATATGAATGTGGATATGTATGGATATGTATATGGAAAAGATTGTACATTCCAGTGTACACAGAGTGAGAGTACATTTATTGTAGTCTTCAGGTAGGTTAGGTTAGGTAAGGTTCGTCAGGAAACAGGACAAGTGTTTCCTGACGAGGGTCTTAGATGCTAACCCGCCTTTGGAGCTTTTGGTCATCTGACTGAGGCCTTCCGCTGGATTACCGGTCCACCCCTTTAAAAATTATGGTCATTTATAACCATTTAGTTCTTACATCATCCTTTAGCGTATTTCTCGTCTTAATGACGATCACAGGATATACACACCAACAAGTGTATTTCTCTCAGTTCACTTAAATAATTATTTTACAAATTAAAGCTTTAATGTCTAGTGGTATAAAGGTTATGAGCAGATTAATGACAGAAATATAGTCGATAGGCTTTAAGCCCCATTAACTATCCTTATCAACGTGCACTATTTATAAATGTTCCATCAAAATTTACAGTCCAGATAATATAATGAATTACTAAAAAACTTATTCCCTATTTCACGTAACTGATAAAGAATGTTTCAAGCATATTAAGTAACGTATTCTTGCTAAAAGTAGAAAATATTCATATGTTTTTAAATATTTGTATTGACGCATATGACTAACAGCGGCGTCTCTCTCAAGGAACCAACAGCCCTCCATCATGTTGGTTTCGAAACCCCCATGATAGCATATTTCCATTGTACTGATATTTTGATTAAACCTTTCACCATGTGCATCACTGACAGCATCAAGACTGGACGGAAATAAGTCCAGGAGAGAATAAATTAAGGGCATTATGAGAGACGTGTGCCAACCCAGTGCTCTACGAGCCTCTGTCGTTTTTTGCACTCACACTTATAATTATTAAAAAGGTATAAAATACCGACAGGTTGTTAGGTAAAGCACATATCTTTATTACGAAACGTTTCGCCTACACAATAGGCTTCTTCAGTCGAGTGCAGAAAAGTTGGTAGATGTGTTTGATGTGTCACAGCATGCAGCTCCAGTGGGGTCACTTTTGATATGGAGACTGACTTGGTCACGTATTTATGACCCAACAAATATTCCAGCCTGAAGCATTGTGTTAATTAAAGCTCTCCTAAATTTTTCCCTATGATGAAGAAATCCTGCATCTTCACCATCCATAACTTTTACAAAGTTTTATTTTTATTACGCCCAATATGCGATGATGCAAGAAAAAACATTGACGACGCAACAATTACATATATTTTATGTTGATTTTTTCTGGAATATGGTCCTTTCTTTCGCCCACTCTTTGATCTTGTAGTAGTTAGCATCGACACAAATATTCCACAAAGGAAACACATATAGACAAAGTAGACACATAGTAGACACATAGTAGACACATAGTAGACACATAGTAGACAAAGTATTAAGTCTATTAGTTTTAAAGTCTCCACAGACATATTACACTTGTGGTAATTGCATTTTGTTAGTTTGAGTAGAATTTCGATTAACTCGTATGTTAACCACACAGCCTAAACCACTAACACATTTTCATTATCATTGTGATGGAGCACTACTGTCACTCACCTTGCTAGAACCAATAGTCTCCATTCACTAATGTTTATAACCCATTTCCTTCTTAAAACCATTTATTTCAGTCCACAAATACGCACCATTCTTCATTTGATTGAATGACGCAAAAAATAGCAAGTTGGGCACGAAAATTAAATATGTTTGTTATTCCTGCTAAAAGATTCCACTGTGTGTGTTCCAAATGGTTCTACCTTCTACAGGAGATAAATGAAAGTCATTATCTCCTGTGGAGTGATAAGAGAAGTTGTTACAAACTCTCAGTTTCTGGAGGTTCATAAAGATCAGTGATATCAGTTACTTCACTACCATCCCGTTCTATGTCATAAGCAACAAGTGGAACAGGCATGAAAGTGTCCTATGTGGCACATTCTCTAGATCTGCAATATCTCCACCTTTCAAGGGGGGGGGGTGTTAGTGAACAAATGACAAAGAGTATTATCATTGTCATTCCTCCTTTTGAAAGTTCTTATTATCCATGAAATGACTGTTGTGATTCTAAATGATGAGATCCTCTGACATTATTACGCCCAAGTCCTTCACATTATTTTCTTCTTTATTGTGGGTTGGAATATGTTGTATGCTCCGTTCTAGCTATTATTTCAAGTTTTGTATAAAGGAGTAACAGAATTTTGTCTTTTTTATTGAACATTATACTGTTTTCCGCAGTCTAATGGAAAACTTGGTTTTCATGTATATCCGCCTGGGGATTTACCGTGTCTTAATGGTTGGCACTCTCATGTCAATTCTAATATCTTCAAAAGAGGATACAGTGCTATTTCTTTCATCCCACTGTAAATTAACAGGAAAAGGATGAAGGCGAGTACCGTACCTTGAGGAAGAAAGCTTTTTATTGTGGCAGCCTACAACTTAACTGTATACCATTACTCATAGTGTTCTATAACTTACAAAGTTAAAGATCCGTCTACTCACTTTTTTCAATAATTTCTCTAGAAAGCATTATTTAGACTGTTATACCATGATCACATTTCCCGAAGGCTGCAGAGTCTCTGTTTATTACATATGCATTCTGTTTGTCCTCCAGTGCATCCAATACTATGCTTTAGTGGTCCAGTAGATGAGGAAGGCAGAAACGACTTACTATAAATCCATGCTGCCCTGGACTGTGCAACTGTTGGGAATCCAAGTGGCTGATCTGCAAAGAACGAGTGGAGTGAAGAGTATCATCACTAACTTGGCATCTCTTGTTTCGAAAGTTCTAGTTATCTAACCTATTAGTTTTCTTTTGGCTGCTATATTATTATTGCTGGGCACCTTGAGCGTGAGATCTTTTAACTTTATCACTTCCAGGTCTCTCACCTTCGACATACGTTCTATTGATCGGCTTATATTTGTCTTGTAATTAGACCACTTCCAAAAGACAGCTTCCGGGGCCCAACTTTGACTAAGGCAGCAGCGAAAATGATGACAAAGCAGGCACCACCAAAGGGAGGTGAGTGTTGGCTCATTACTTGCAAGCACATTGTTGGTATAATTCTCTCATTCGGTCTTGTTTGTATTTCTTCCATTCATCCATAGCTTAATAAATGAAATTTGACCTTTAAAGACCATATTGTTGAGAATGGCCCACTGGACAACTTGGGTCATATTAGCTCGGAGGGTCACCGTTTATTTCTATGGATACTACTTTCATAGATGTTCCTTTATCATCGGCAAGCATGACACATTGTTATGATTTATGCCCCTATCCGTGTCAGATATGAGAATACGAAAGAGAAGTGGAGAGAGCACTGTGCCTTGGAGACAACTTTTCTCAGTAACAGCTACTATTTACTATTACACTCTTGGTTCTGTTTGTTAAGAAGTTATTGTATACTATATCTCCATTTTACATGTCAGTGGTCACCTGCGGTCTTACCTGTCCTAAGCTCTGGGAGTTAGCGTGGGGTGTTACCAAGCACCATGGCTTCTTGTAGTGTTTTAGAAGAAGGAGGTTATACTTCTTCAGGAGGAAAATAGGAGGCTGAAGCTTCGCCTAGATGAGTTTGGGAGTGAGTGTGAGAAGGATTTAGCTGGTAAGGAGGAAATGGTTACTAGCAGTGATAGTGGCTGCCGCTTTAAGTGGCAAGTGGTTCACAGTTCAGGAAGAAGGAAGATAAGGAGGATTAACAGAGAAGATGTGAAGGTAGGAAATCGATTCTCTGTTCTCCAGGACGAGTGTACTTCAGTGGTTAGTGAGGTTGAAGATACCACTGATTCCCCTACTAATCAAGGAAGAAATATTTTAATAGTAGATTCTCAGGTAAGATATATGGACCCTGCTTTTTGTAACAGAAACAGAAAGGTCAGACAGAGGGTGTGCCATCCTGGACCTGGTGTTGGTGCCATAGTCAGCAGGTTGGATAATATTATGTCAGGTAATGGGAACAAGCCCATTATCTGTCTTAGTGCTGGGGGTAATGACACTGGGAAGGGCAGGAGAGAGGAGTTGCTGGATAAGTACAGGTCAGCCATGGAAGTAGTTAGGTCTAAGGGAGGGATCCCAGTCATATGTAGCATCTCGCCTAGAAAGGGAGTGGGCAATGAATGGATGTCTAGGGCAATTGGTATAAATTGCTGGCTAGACAGGTACTGTAAGGAACTTGCAATCCCATTCATTGATAACTCGGACCTATTCTTTGGCAAACGTGATATGTATGAAAGGGATGGGGTTCATCTCTCTGGGGATGGGAGTGGTTGCATTAGCCAATTCGATTGAGAGGGTAATTGATGACTTGTCTAGGAATTTAAACTGATAGATTATAGGGGTATGGGTGTTTGTGTTAAACAATCAGGCTGCAATATTATGGTTAAGAACAACAGTTATTACTGGGATACCTAAAAGATATGTTTAAAAGACAATATTAAAACTAAAGTTGTTAGTAATGGCAAATCAATTGATCAACAAACAAAAAGAGATAACAGAGGGCAACGAGTGACTAGCTCCCTTAAGGTTTACTATACAAATAGTAGGAGTCTAAGAAATAAGATAGATGAGCTAAGATTACTTGCAAGTGTAGGTAATATAGATATTA